AATGACCCCTCCTAGCAATAACCATAAGATTTGAGGGAATCAACAGTATCTTATAAAGCCATTTGACAAATATTTACATAGGACCCACAATGTCTTGAGCATCTTGCTAGTCACAGGGTGCAGTAGTGTGCAGACAAATACAGTCCTTCTCCTTGGGGAGCTGGCAAACCACTGCTAAATAATAACAGCTTGTAGGAATGGAACCAAGGGTTTACTCGTTAGGCACTGTTCTTAGTATGCATTATGCCGTTTCAATCTCATGGAGGTAGCTATTATTATTATCCCCATTTTACAGATTAGAAAATTGAAGATTACCCAAAGTCACACAACAAGGAGTGAGCGGAACTTGGACTTGAAGGCAGGCTGCCTGATGTCACATACTTAATCACACATATGTCTTCTCTTTCTCTCTCATAGCTTCTCATGAGGTAGAACTTTAGAGCCTGATATGTTTGTGGCTGGAGCATAGCAGCTCTTCTTCAGCTTTGCTACAGTTTCTACTGAATATTTTGGTTTGCAAATATAAAGGATTCTCTGAAGCACAACCTGAAACAAAGTGTGGTAGACAGCTGGGAGAGGACAACTGCAGACAGAAAAATGTGGCCGGATGCTCTGGGGGCAGGTGGCAGCAATGTTCAGCCAGGTGGCTCCAAGGAGAGGAAGCAGTGATGCATTGAGGTAAGACAGCTGACAGATGAAACCACACAGACCCCAAGGCAGAGTAGAAAGAGGTGCCTTAAATCTTGTAGGGTGTGCAGGTTATGAAAATGCAGTTGGGATACAGGTTTGCGTTCTGTTGCCCATATCATCAGAGTGATGATTCAGATAGATTTAAAAATTATTTTATCCTGAAGTATGTCTGATGTGAAGAGGTGAAAATAACATCTTAGGATTAAGAGTCAGAGACCTAAATTATTGCTCAAATATGCACCACCTAGTTTAGGTGTGTGAACTTTTGCAAGTCCCCTAACTTCTCTCAATGTAGATTTCCTTTCCAAAACAAGGGAGTTGGGTTACTGAACCACAAGAATTTTTCTACTTCCAGACTGCTCTGTTTGTCTCTAGCACTGGAAATTTAGACACATTTAGAAGGCATGTTTCTAGCCCTTTAGACCCACAGTGCCTAACTCAGTAGCCACATGTGGCCATGGAACACTTGAGATGTGGCTAACATGACTAAATTTTCAAATTTATTTCATTGTCATTAAATTTAAATTAAGAAATGGGTACTGTATTTAGTTATTGAAATTTTTTATTTATTTTTGAGACAGAGTCTTGCTCTGTCACCCAGGCTGGAGTGCAGTGGTGTGATCTTGGCTGACTACAACCTTCACCTCCTGGGTTCAAGTGATTCTCAGCCTCAGGCTACCAAGTTGCTAGGATTACAGGTACCTGCCACCATGCCTGGCTAATTTTTGTACTTTTAATAGAGATGAGGGTTTCACCATGTTAGCCAGGCTGGTCTTGAACTCCTGACCTCAGGTGATCTGCCTGCATCAGCCTCTCAAAGTGCTGGGGTAACAGGCATGAGACACTGCACCTGGTGTGAAAAACTTCAGTATGTTCAAAACAACTTAGGAATGTGAATCTGCTTTTTGCAACAGTAAATTTTGTAAAATCTAAATACAGATCAAGTGTTTCCGATGAAAATTTGGCATCTGAATTGGGACATGCTGTAAGTATAAAATAGACACCAGATTTAAGACAATATTAAAAAAGGAAGTAAAATGTCCCAATAATTTTTATGTTGATTACATGTTGAAGCAACGTTTTAGAAATATTGGGTTAAATAAAATAAATTGTTTAAGTTAATTTTATCTGTGTTTACTTTTAAAAATGTAACTAGAACATTTCCCAATGTGTGTGGCATTTCTTCTGGACAGCTTTTACAGGACAGGTTATACTCTGTAAACTGCAGTGAGTTGTTGGATTGGCACACTGGCTTTAGTTGATCATAGATGTTTGGGAGACGAAAACTGTCACCCTTTAAGGAAGACACTTGTACTCTCATCAGACGAAACTTGCCCCAATTACCTTTGCCAATAGTGTTTCAAGAGAGCCAGGGGATGTGAGGTCTCTTAGAGTCTCTCTGGTTCTCAATGCTTCCAAAATTGCAATGTGCTGTAGACACCATGGGTAAATGCACTGTGACATCTTCATCTGAGTATACTTGGTATTCATAACTCCAGAGAGGGCATCTGTTTGGAGGAGCCTGTCTCCATTCAATGAGCACCCCTGTTGGGTGGAGAGGTTTGAGCCATGCCCCTTCAGAGGCTGTTGGCCTTGCCTATGTCTGGCTACCTTTAGCCTGGCCACAGGTTTCTGGTGTATTCAGTTCTAGACAGGTAGCAGAGCTTGTTTTGCTCTTTCCACATGAATTCTTCAGAAGGAGGGTGTGTCAGTGGCAAGAGTTTTGAGTTTGAGGCCTTCTTTTTAGTGCAAAACCCTCCTTTTCTGCATCTATAGGGAGTAAACATGGAACTGGTGAGAATCACTTTCCCTGATCATCATGTGGTCAGTATGTGGTGACTGACTTGGTGTGACTGGAGAAAGTCCCTTCCCTTGACAGAATATGGTGATTTGCCGTGGCATTATCAGAGAGGATCCACATCCCTGGCCACTTGTGGTAAGCTACTTGCAGCGACTGGGAAGGATTTTGCACTGACTCCCAGTCAGTGCGTGATTACTAACCTGGAGTGATCCGGGAGGACCACTGTATTTCTTTGCTCAGGCTGCCATAACCAATACCACAGGGTAGACACCTTAAACAGCAGAAATTTATTTTCTCACAGTTCTGGAGGCTAGAGTTCCTTGATCCAGATATCAGCAGGTCTTGTTTCTTCGGAGGCCTCTGCTTTCTTTGCAGATGGCCACCTTCTTGTTATGTCCTCACACAGATGTCCCTTAGTGTTGTGTGTGTCCTAATTTCTTATCAGGACACGGGTCATATTGGATCAGGGCCACTAATGTTACCTCATTTTACCTTGATTACATCTTTAAAGGCCCTGTCTCCACATGTGATCATACTCTGAGTTCCTGAGGGTTAGAATTTCAACGTATGAACTGGAAAAGGACACAGTTGAGCTCCTAACAACCACCATCCCTGGTTGGAATGTGTCATTCAAGGATGGTCAACTTAATGAACTGTGTGTTCAAAGGCAATGACCACAGAATGACCATGAGGTCACCTGGAGATTTCCTGCTCAAGGGAATGGGATCAAGAACATACATCTCTGACATGGTTATGAATGAGTTTAGGTAAATCAGGTGGATGGAGGAATGTGTTGACTTCTGAATTTTCCTGCAAGGCCACAGATGTACTGTCTCCTCCTCAGCACCAGGAATTCCTTGTTACTTGAACCACCGTGCCTGAGACCAAGTAAGTGCTGTTGAATGTCCTTTGGACAGTGTGATAAATCCTAGTTAACGAATCTGACATCAGGCACAAGGGTTAACAATCTATGTAGGGTCATAAAAGAAACACAAACTATCAACCTTCCACCAAAGAATGTGAGGCAGAGGTGATCAGGCTGGGAATAAAAAGTAGGAATCAGCAGAGTTCTGATTCCTGAAGAGGATAACCTTAAAGTCGGAAACTGATGAACAGGTGTGGATGAGGAAGATGGTGAAAACTTGGAGCTAAGGCAGAAGCAGGAAAATGCATTAGATGACAATACCTCTAGGAGGGTGGCTAGTTACAGCAGAGGTATTGTGACCAAGAAGATTGGCTTCAAGTGACAGAGAGAGAAAAGTCTGTGTCTAGGTGTGAAGTGATGTGGGACTGGATTGGTGACAGAGGGGAGGATGGGGTGATCTGCAAGAAGATTGCTAAAGGCAGGCAATTGATCAAATGTTGAAATTAAGGAGGTCCAAAGTTAAACACACAACCCCAAAACCTACCACAGTGACATAATCCTTTGACTCCCCAAGAGGTTACTAGTTTTGGTACTGGTGCTGAGTCCTCTGGAATCAAACACCTATGTTCATCAAAGAAAAGATGGGAGCAGTCTCATTGCTTACGGATTCTTAGACCTCAGAAAAGTTAATTCCAGTGTGTGGGATTTTGTTTATTTCCATTCTAACTTTAGGCTTCTTTAGTCAGCCCAATTGTTAGCAATAAGAAATGAGCTAGATGGAAGCAATGTTCTCCACCTGACAAGCTTTAGGAGCAAGACATTATTAAACTGGGAGGAGGAGTCAACGTAAGTAAAAACAGACTTCATAAAAGGGCTGTGATACATTCTATGCCTTTATCTTGGGGAAAATGCAGTGGGAAAAGGAAACAGCTAGCTTAACAGGAATTTGCTTGGCTTAGTGGGATAGAACATGAAAATCTCAACTTTATATGTTAACTGAGTATTAAGTCTTTCGAAAGCAAGAGGATGCCACTCCCAGTATCTTTTCCCAAGAGTTTTCTGCAATTGTCGTAAACGTCCTCTGAAAGCAATCCTAGATTACATAACTCATCCCATATATGTATGGGTATATGTGTACCCTATATATATAAACTAGGATTATATATCTATGTAAAACAATTGTGTCTTGCACAGAACTTTAGCAATGGCGTCTAGATTCCGTAAATCCCCATCAGATGTCGACGCTCTGAGGAACCTCTGCCAAGTTGTAGCAAACTGGATTCTCCATTTAGAGGGTAGGTTCAAGTCCTAAGCAAGATGCCAGGGAAAGGTCAGAAAATAGGTCTTTGGTAGTCACTGAAGTTTGGTAAGCAGGCAGCTGGGACGAATTTTGGGGCTTCTCTCTCACCGGTCTCCAGATATTCACACCTCTAGAACTGACCGCTCTGAAGGTGAGAAGCAGTACACCCAACGGCCCGCGCGCCGCCTGCGCAGCGACGCCCCCTCAGCCCCTTCCTTCGCGGTCGCCGCGCCGCCCCGCCCCGCCTCCGGCCCGCCCGGTGCCGCACCCTCTCACCGCCGGTCCCCGCCCCGCACACGCGCCCCGGGCCGGCGCCCCGCCCCGCCCCGCCCGTCACGTGACAAACCCACCCTCCGCGCGCGCTCCGATTGGCTTTCCCGACCTAGGGGGAGGGATATGGCGAACGCAGCTGCCCCCGACGCGGCTGCAGTTTTCAAACCTCAACTGTAAGCCTCGGTCGCCCGTCTCCGCTGCCGTTGCCGGGAATCACCTCACCGAGAGCCCGGTCACAACTGTCGGCCCTTTTCTGGAAAAGTAAAAGTGGAGCTCCCTGGCGCCTCGCCCGGCTGAAGCTAGAGAACTCGTCCTGTGGCGGTCCCCGGCGTGGGGCGGGACAGCAGCCCCCCTCGGAGGGGGCAGCCCCGGGAGAACCTGAGGCGGCCGGAGCGGTCAGTGTCCTGCGGGATTGATGGGTGGGCTCGGGGCTGCGACGGAACCAGCCCCCTGGGACAGAGACCTCGAACGTGAGGAAGGAGGACCCGAGAAGGGTTTAGGCGGTGCGGTTGGGTCCGGGGTCCCATCGGATCCGCGGCTTGGTTGAGAGGGGTTCGTTCGCCGCCGCCCCTCAGGTGGCGGATTGCTGCTGGCGCCTTTCCGCTTTACTGCTGGAGTCCGGGTTCCCTGGGGTTCGGAATGGGGGGCGGCCGGCGGTCCTCCCACCACTCTCCCCAGCCCGGGGCGCGTGTCTGTGACTGTACGCGTTCGTGTGTCCGCGTGCGCCCTTCACCCTGCCGGCCACGGCTGTCTCCGGTTCGCGCCAGGCAGGGCCCCCTTCGCGGCGGGCCGGCGCCGGTCCCTTCCACAGCGCGGCCACGCGGTCCCCCGAGCCTCTCCGAGTCCCAGCTGCGGCGTGGGCACGGGGCGCGTTCCCATCTGGACTCGTGGAAGCGTCCTGCTACTAGCTGCCTTTCCTGTAGAGAAAGTTCGTGCTCATCTTGTGGGACGTTTTCAGTTACGCTTGGGATCAGTGTTTTAAAACCAGCGAGAGAGCAAGACAGCTGTTTCCGTGATTTTCAGACATCTGATTTTAACTTTGTTGCTTTGTAACCCACTTAGTGTGCACGACTCATCCCCAAACTATACGACTACAAGATGCCAACGATTTTTGACATTTACCCAGGCTCTTTGTTTTATTGTAGGGAAAAGCGCTTCATTTGAATTCCGTCCGAGGGAGAAGTAGAGACAAAGTTGAAAGAGGCTTTATGGCAGCTGGTAGCTGGCGTTAGTTTCTGTCTGGACTTGAAGCTCTCTGACATCAATTTGCAAATTGGAATTAAGAAAAAAAATACATTTTTAAAACCAATCGTACTGATCAGATTTCACTAATAGTTAAACACATGAGGACTGTATATCACATTCACCGGTTGTTTTGTTGACGTAATGTTTACATCCTGATGCTAATAATGATAAGCTCAACCTTGCCAGGGACGTTTGACGTGGTGTGGCCACTTGACATTTTCAAGTCTATGAGAATGTTTGCAAGGAGACAGCATAGCCCTGTAGAAATGAGTGGCAGCATATGTAACCTGGCATTTTGAACCTAGGAGCACAATTTGATTAAAGGAAAATATAATAAACCTGCTTTCTTATTGATAACACTGTTTTTTAGTTTTATGCTAAACTGTTCAGAAGAAGTTTTCAACAACTTCTGAAGTGCTTATTTTAATTATATTTAATTTAATTTATTTTTTTTTTTTTTTTTTTTTTTTTTTTTTTTGAGACAGTCTCACTCTGTCACCAAGGTTGGAGCACAGTGGCACGATCTCTGCTCACTGCAGCCTCCGCCTCCCAGGTTCAAGTGATTCTCCTGCCTCAGCCTCCGGAATAGCCGGGATTACAGGCGCGCACCGCCCCCCTTCTAATTTTTGTATTTTTAGTGGAGACGGGGTTTCGTCATGTTGGCTAGGCTGTTATCGAACTCCTGACCTGGTGATCCACCTGCCTCGGCCTCCCCAAGTGCTGGAATTACAGGCGTGAGCCACTGTGCCCGGCCTGAACTGCTTATTTTATAAATATCAGACCATATACCTGTAAGAATTTGTATTTTTTTTTTTAAACTGGTTCATAGAGGCAGTGCAAAAGTTTTAGTATGTCTTGTCTCTCGGATCTTCCTCTGAACAGAAGCTCAATTAATTTTTTTCTAATATCTTAATAATTGGTAGTATAAATAGGTGTTTTATTTTTGAGATACATATTAGACATTTTGGATCATTTTTTAAAGTAGGGATCAAAAATTGAGGTTAAATATATTTGCTTACATAGCAAGACTTTTTAAAAGTAGAATTTCTGTAATTGAAAACTGTCATTTTTTGTGTGTATATAGAATGGTTAGTTTATCTTGGGATCATTGATTAGTGAATAACAATTTGGTTAAGATAGAATCTGTTTTTTAGGAAGGTGGAAACTTGACTAATCACTGTGTTAGCATATGAGTAACAAATTTGAAGAAGATACAGGCATTTTATGGCAGATGTTTCTACTCAGATTATTTTTAAGCTTGCACTGATTTACTGTTGTTAGGTGAACATTTTAACATGTGTTAAAGCTCTTTGGTAATTGTAAGGTAGAATTACCTTATCAGAATATTTGTTTTAATATTAGAGACACAATTAAAAAAATCAAGGAAATCAATAAACACTTTCACTTAATCCAGAAATTGTCTTAAAATTGCATGCGTAGTATATTGTATGTAATTCTCATTTTCTGTATGTAAGATTGGCAGTTAAGAATAGTATTCCTAGGCATACTACTTTTAAAAGATACTGATTGATTCTTCTTTTTATAAAGAATTCTTTTGCACTGTAGGGGTATTTGTTTTGTCAGGAACGTTAGCAATCATTACTGCCTTTCCACTTAGGAAAACTTCAAATGTCAGTTGCTTTAGTTTTTCATAATATTGATGACAAAATTCAATGATTTTATGTTTAAGTACTGTGGTTTGTATTCTATGATGGACTGTTATAAAAGGCTATTTCTTTGAATATTTCAATTAAGTAATGTTCCTACAAATTAAGTTACAAACAGATATTTTATCTAAATATGTTGTAATGTTGCAGTGTTCAAGGCATACTTTATTGAAAGTTTTTTCTTGGCCTGGCACAGTGGCTCACGCCTCTAATTCCAGCACTTTGGGAGGCTGAGGTAGGTGGATCACGAGGTCAGGAGATCGAGATCATCCTGGCCAACATGGTGAAACCCCATCTCTACTAAAAATACAAAAATTAGCCAGGTGTGGTGATGAGCGCCCGTAGTCCCAGCTACTTGGAAACTGAGGCTGGAGAGTCACTTGAACCTTGGAGGTGGAGGGTGCAGTGAGCCGAGATCACGCCACTGCACTTCAGCTTAGCCACAAAGCAAGACTTAGTCTCAAAAAAAAAAAAAGTTTTTTCTTTTATTATCTTTTTTCCAGCACATTTAACCTCAAATTTCAGGGCCATTTAAAACATGTAAATTAGTCCTTTTCTTTTAATATTTATATGCATTATATTTTGGTTCATCCCTGACCATATGCAATTACTCCAAAAAAGGGCGTATTTATACTCTAAGCATTGAAAATTTTTAACAGTGAGATGATAATTTCCTTTTTAATCCTTAAAGGATCAGATTCCATTTTGCATTGTAATAGTTATTGAATAAACAGTACCTCAGTGGTGCCATTAAGTAAACAATAATTTATTTTACAACAGAAACCCAATTTTCCATCTTGTGAATGACAAGCACCCTGCATTTGTTGCCAGCCCCCCACTGCCCCCAACTCTATTTCCGTATTTCAACATCTTATCCTGGTTCACAGTTACAGGGTTTAATTCTTTCTCTGGAGATGGGAAGAGACAGCATTAGGGTCTTGGCACAGAATAAGCCTAGAGTCATTGCCTGACATTTCAGCCCTGGGATAGTATATACTAGAATGGTTAGATTAGAGTTGTTTAGCTGACATCCTATTGTGAGTTTTAGATAATTAAATTTATGAATTATATTTTCTGTTGAATATTTTTTTGAAAACAAAACCTATTAGCAGAATACATATAAGGAATACAGTCTTTTCCTTGAAATTGAAAATTATCATTTCCATCTTGATACCAATATTTCTAATCAGTGACCAATTAAAAATGAATACTTCTGCCACACCTTTACTTTTGATGGATGCTAAATCTCTAATTTTTCAGTTTCCTAGGGAAAGCTTGGTAGCAGTAAATGCCTCTGTAGAAAGGAGTTTCTTCCCTTACAGTCTTGTGGCTTACTTTGCTTCCCATTGCCTTTTCAGTTTACTTCATGAAGATCTAGACTTATCAGTGATAAATCTTCATAGGATACTTACCTGAATTTTCTGAATTTTGGTGGCTCTTAAAACAGTGATGTTTTTAACTGCAGTAGGTATTTGTTTTAGTAGCTTGTATTAAAAACGAGTGGCCACCTTGTCTGAAAACAGGGGTAAAAACAAAATAAACAATCTTTTGGCATTACATTATAGTATATGACAAAATAATTTTATCTTTGTGGCTACCATGTTTAGAACTGACATTTTCTAAGTGCAATTTAAAATAGCTACTTTATTTAGCTAGATATTGAATTAAGCAGAAACTAGCTGCAGTCAGAGCTCCAGTACTGTAAATTCAAGATGGATCTCAAGTTCTCCTAACCCCTTGAAGACATGAGATGTACCTACAAATTATTTCCCTATATCTCATAATTCTTACAATTCAGTTCATCAACATTTTTAAAATTCCTACCAGGTGACAGATACCATGCTTAGGCACAAAAGTAAAAGGATGTTGCCCTTTAAACACTAAACAGAATTTCAATCTAACACGTTACATTTTGAGGTAAAGAAGTATGCCAAGGGTCCTCTTTGAAACATAAAGGAGAAGTATTTAAATCAACCTGTGGTTTTTAGGCAAAGCTTCGTGGGGGAGAGGCCATTCTGTATTGACTTATGAAAGATGTATAAGAAGAGCTAGCCATTTAAGGAAAGTAGAAAGGCTTTCTCAGGCAGAGAAGTATAATAAAGATGTGGTGGCAAAATATGAAATCTGAGTGGCAGGAAGTGTAGCTGGTGTATACTTGGCCTCAGAGGCCTTTATGTGTCATGCTGTAAGGACTTGAAAGCTTGTGGCTACTGGGGAGCTAATGAAGGAATCAAAACAGACAATTTGATTCTCTAAATGTCTTTATTATTATATATTCTATTTCTCAAAAATTTTATTTGATAATTTTGAAATAAATATGATAAATACTTTTTAAAATAGAGCTAGAGGTTTATAGAGATTGTCTTGCTTTTGATCACATCACACTTGCTTTCTCCATTCAAGTAAGTGAAGGCCCAGATCAAGCCTAACATTTCCTTCTGTTCTTTTTTCACTGATCTACTTCTAAATTCTTATTTTAATTGTTATAATGAGAATTAATGAAAAAAATCTTTAAAAATAAATGAGATGCCATTATTTTTAATAGTACTGTGTAATTGAAAGCTTAATTGTGTCTTCTGTCACACTTTTCATAGCATCTAATTGTGCCTATAATTGTGTATATACATGCATACAAATTTACTTATCAGGTCCCTTAAGATTTTTTTTTAAACTTGTATAACCTGATAAAATATTTTTTTAAACTTGTATAACCTGATAAAAAGTGGAATCAGACATACTGATAATTTAGAATCAGTTATAGGTAGATGGAGTATGGCAGAAGACAAGAAAAGGTCTGGGAATCATTGGAGTTAAAGAGAATTTGGTGGGAAATTTAGGAAGATACAAGAAGGAGTGACAGAGAGCTGGCTGATAACCCCCATGTACCTTATATGAAGGGCAGCCAGATGTTTGTGGAGGGCTTGGTGGACAAAGACGACATTTATGCTCTACTATATGCAAAACTGGCCAAAGGAAAGGAAATGGAAAAGTATCTTGGTTCTGACAATTGGTTTAAATGCAGTAAATAAAAGGTAAATGAACTTAAATGCTTAATGGATGCCTACAGCAGCTTGTGATGTAGGTATATTAGCAATAAGTAGATGAACTTATGAGGAAATTGTTACCCATATTCATCTTTCAGAACAATGAAAAAATCAGGGAAACTGAGCACTATTAGAACTAAGAAAATACACAAATAGTTAAAACAAAAAGATTTTTAAGAATTAACTTTAGTTTAAGTTGGGATGAGAGTTTTGTATGTGGAAATGGTACAGTTATTCAACAGTGGCAGGGAACTGCAGAGAGAGTAGTTTGGGTAGAACATTAATTTTGTTTTGTGGAACAATAACGATATGCCCTTGTGACTTGCACTGTATGCGTGTCAATGGACATGAGTTCAGTGTATCTTAATTTTTAATCCTTACAGCACTGTAAGATTGATTCTTTTATCATCCATACTTTAGAGTCAGCAATATTAAAGCTTTACATCACTAGTAAACAGGGAAATACAAAGTAAATCACAACATAATTCCATTTCACCTTCATCACACTAGAATTGCCAAAATTAAAAGTCTGAGTTGGGCCAGTATGGTCAAAGTAGTGATAAACCATCCCATGTAGTGCTAGTGGGAGGATAAACTAGGGGTGGGAAAAAGAGGCTACGTCTAATGTGTTCTGTTTATTTTTAATTTAAATGAAATATGACCAAGTAATAAGACTGGAAAGTAAATGTTTGTATATAGTGTTCCTTGTCATACATTTGAAATATTTCATGTTTTGTTTCTAAATAACTGTATTGCCACAGATTAGGTGACTTAACAAGTATATTTTCTCAACAATTCTGGAGGCTAGAAATCTGAGGTCAGGATGTCTGGGGTTGGTTTCTTCTGAGGCCTGCCTTCTTGGCTTGCAGATGGCTGTCTTCTCCCAGTGTGTTCATATAGTCTTTCCTCTGTGTCTGTCTGTGTCCCAATTGGCCCATTTTAATGACCTCATTTTAACTTAGTCACCTTTTTAAAGGCCCTGTCTCCAAAGACAGTCACATTATGAGGTATAGGGGTTAGGATTTTTCAACTTGTGAATTTGGGGGAGGATAAAATTCAGCCCATAACAATAGCAAAGTTAAATAATTTAATTAAGGTATCATAGCTGGTATGATGGATGAATGGAATTCAGACCCAGTCTAAACATTATTCTCAGAATGCTACACTATGACCCTTAGACTCCTAGAGATGTATCCCCAAACTGGTTGAGCTTTGTTTCCCCAAAGGCTAAGAGATGTAGAGAAAACAAACAGTTGTACTATCTAGTTACGTGAAAGCTGTAATTTTAATTTAATTTTTTGAGACAAGGTCTCTCTGTTACCCAGACTGAACTTCAGTGGTGCATTCATAATTTGAGAATTACACCAAGAAGAGATGTAGAAACTGAAAACACTGAACTTTAATGACACCACTTTTTTGCTAAGTAAAATGTAGTTGACATTTGAATTTAGGAAGATAAAGAACAGTACATGTCAAGTAGGAAATAGGAAGAAAAGGTGGCAGAGAAGGAACAAATGCTTAGTGGGTTACTATAGGAGGGTGCTAAAAGAATAATACTTGATATTTTATTAAGTAGGCATAGCAGTAAGTCATAAGTGTCTTGAAATATATTATCTGTAATCACTTATGAATACAGTTAACATAGTTTTGATAACACTGAATGCATACAAATATCACAGATTTCCAGGTATATATATGAGCTTCAGATACATAACATTGTAATAGTGCTTTATGTGTAGGTTAGTCAATTCTCCAACAAAATTATTGAGCACTTACATAGCAGGCTCTGTGCTCGGTGCTGTCAAAGGAAGGATTCTTAAGACATTTGGGAGTTTCTGAGTTCAGTATTGAAACATAGCCAATCCATGGAAAAAGTTATATTTCTTGTAGTCATTAACATCAGTAATATAACTCACAATATGTGCATTTACCACCAATTTTTTTTAGCAATGTGAAAATAAGTTTAAAATGAATAATCACTACCTTGTATTAAATTACCTATTATGTGAAACCTATAACTGTATTTATTTATTTATTTATTGAGATAGGGTCTCACTCTATTGCCCAAGCTGAACTGCAATAGTACATTCATAGCTCACTGCAACCTCAACCTTCTGAGCTCATGCAATGCTCCTGCCTCAGCCTCCCAAGCAGCTAGGACTACAGGTGCAAGCCACTACACCCAGTTAATTTTTAAAGTTTTTCGTAGACATGGGGTCTTGCTCTGTTGCCAGGACTGGTCTTGAACTTCTGGCCTCAAATGATCCTCCTGCCTCAGCCTCTCATAGTGCTGGGATTACAGGCATGCACCACTGTGCCTAGCTGAAACCTCTATAACTTTAAAGAATGGAGTTTTATGATGAAACTAAGTGATTACCTGTGTTATACTTTTATCATAACTATTTTTTAAAAAGAATTGAGAGGATTTTTACAGTAGTTTTATTCTGAAATGAAGTCAGTAACTTCTTTCACATGCCATAGTGATGCTGGTTTATGTGTGTGCTTGTTTTTTTTCTCCTCCTTGTGGGTAGAATGTGCTCTTTACTCTTCGTTTTTTTTAGTTGTATTTTATAGCTATATTTGGAGTTGTGTAATGCAGTGCACATCCTGCCTGAGATAACATCTCTTCTCTGTCTTCTCTTTTTTTTCCATAGGTAAAAATAAGTGACTAAAGAAGCATACCTGGGAATCACCTAACATGTCAAGGAGGAGATTTGATTGCCGAAGTATTTCAGGCCTGCTAACCACAACTCCTCAAACTCCAATGAAAATGGAAAACTTTAATAATTTCTATACACTTACATCTAAAGAGCTAGGGAGGTAAGAAAACTATATGATGTGTATGCTGTCTAAATTCAAATTTTGGATTTGTGTTTTTATAATTCTATAAAACTCACGTGCAATCATTATTTACCAATGATTAGGAAGGAAAGTCATCATCTCTGTTGCTATTACATAGGATATAGTCTTAACTGACTAGAAAATCAAATCTGTGGAGGGTTTAGTGAACTTACATCATATATATATGAAGGTAGGCCTAGCTTCAGAGCCTCCAATAGGCGGTCTCTGTTCTTATGTGAGGCTGTGTGTGGCAGTAGGCAACTCAGCATAGTGGACTGCCGAGTCCAAGTCTGGATTCCACATTTACTAGATGTGTGACTTCAACTAAATAACTATACCTCTTTTTTACATTTTTATTTGTGGCAGTGTCTTACTCTGTTACCTAAGCTGGAGTACAGTGAGGTGATCTTGGCTAACTGCAAACTCCCGTCTCCTGGGCTCAAGGGATTCTCCCACCTCAGCCTCCTAAGTAGCTGGGACTTCAGGCACTCACTACCACACTAGGCTGGTTTTTTGTAGAAACAGGGTTTTGCCATGTTGCTCAGGCTGGTCTCCACCTCCTGGGTTCAAGCAGTCTTCTAGCTTTGGCCTCCCAAAGTGCTGAGATAATAGGTGTGAGCCCCTGTGCCCTGCCTACTGTACCTCTTAGTGCTGTAGTTTCCTCATCTGAAAAGTAGGGGTAAAGATAATTGTGTCTATCTTATATGGTTGTTATGAGGATTAAGTTAGTTAACATTTGTAAAGTGCCTAGTACAGTGCTATGTAAGCTTTTGTTAAATCAATTTTTTTTTTAGTTTCTAGGATATTGTGCTGGACTTTAAAAAAAAAAAAAAGAAAGAAAGAAATAGGGAGATTCTCCCCTCTCCTAAGTTGAACAAAAAGAAGGAATTCATATTTCATAGTCTGATTCTATGTCTCAATGAATGGTGTTTTATAAGTAAAAGCCTTTACAAATTGTTTTCCCTTAACCAATGAACAAATTCTATACAGGCAAGGAGTGACCTGATATTATGAAACCATTCTGTACTAGCATTTTAATATGTATAAAGTTATAAAAGATATACCAAGTTATTTAAGTTATATATTCAGCATCTTTTGAGCTTTAAAGGTGCTTAATGAATGGTTGGACGATGGTGGTCATTATGTATCTTCAGTTTGATTTTAGTTCTGGAGGTAAATGTTTTGTCTTAAGTTAAATGGTTTACTAAGTCCATGTTTGTATTGATAAATGTGCAAAACAGTGTGATTGATTTTTTTTTTTTTTTTTTTTTGAGACGCAGTTTCGCTCTTGTTACCCAGGCTGGAGTGCAATGGCGCGATCTCGGCTCACAGCAGCCTCCGCCTCCTGGGTTCAGGCAATTCTCCTGCCTCAGCTTCCTGAGTAGCTGGGATTACAGGCACGCGCCACCATGCCCAGCTAATTTTTTGTATTTTTAGTAGAGACGGGGTTTCACCATGTTGACCAGGATGGTCTTGATCTCTTGACCTCGTGATCCACCCTCGGCCTCCCAAGTGTGATTGATTTTTATCTTTGAAAATCTCAATGTGAAAAGAAAAGTAGACTGAATCATGAGAAGTAATTCCATTCTTGGTGGTCTTTTATCTTAAGGGTAGAGGCAGGCCCTGGCTTTTTCACTTTGCACATGTTGGATGCAGCCTTTCTTTTCCAAACTAAGAATGATAATATCTACATCATTGACTAAGAATACTAATTTAATGTGCAAAATATTTGTGTGTTTTAATGGTGTATTCAAAGATACAGTTTTTAAAATGTTTTTAAGAAATTGTCCTAAATCTTAATTACTTCACTTTGCATTATAATAGGAAGAAGTAAAGTTTTGTTTTGTTTTCTCTATCTCAGTTAATCATGGAATCTCTGCATTGGAAAGACTTCTGTGGTCCATGGTCTTACTAATACAATATTTTTATGTAGTACAGCAATCGTTCCCATAATTTCCCCAACAAACTGTTATCCAGCCTCAGTTTGAATGCTTCAGTGATGGGGAAATGAATATTATGCAAAGTCTTGAACAGTACACACAATAAAAGGCACTTTCTTTTCTATTTTTCTAAGTTACTATTTGATGAGCAAATTTACTTACATTTATTAAATTAACTTTTCAAAATCTGGGACATTATGGAAGCTAAAAAGTCTATAAAGTATTTTTGTTTTTAGGGCTTTGGACAATTTAAACTTTGAGGACAATATTAATAATTGTAAATTGTTTTATAAATAAGGTGCTGTCATAAAGTTGAATGAGGCATACATTTTAGAATTTTAGATCAAAAACTCAGGATAGAATTTGATTAAGACAAATTCAGATTGATTGTTAAATTCCTATTTTAAAATATCTTTACGAAAGAGACCAAGTAACATCTTTCTTTTGAATTGATGTGGATTAATGAGTCACATTACTAATGGTAAAGATTGATATGTTTAATTAGTAGGTCTTGATAAATTAGAAATCATGACTTTTCATTTGCCAGGAATGTACTGAAAGTTCTTTCAATATTGTTACCAATTTTAATATCCTATACTTTTGTGAAATGGAAATTAGAATCATAATCTTATTTCTTCTGAGGCTTGCACATTTTGAAAGTTATCTTTCTAAATCAACTGTTTTTTATTTCAGTGTTAGTGTTTAATTCATTTTCCTTTAGCAAACTAAAGGAAATTATGTAAAAGTTAACAGTTCATTTTTTAGTATTCTCAAAAAACTCGCATTGTTCCTGTTTTTTAACATGTTGGGTAAGTTTTTTCTACCCTTCCCCCAACTGAGGCAAAGGTTTCTTAGGACTTCTTGTGGTTAGAAGGGTGAGGCAGATTCAGAAATAAACGTCAGCTTCCTTTGTGGCTTACCCTCCTGCCTCCTTTCACATTTTATTGTGTATTCTAGAATGCAGAAGGGTAACTACTAGACCTTTTCACTGCTGGAAATCCTAGTTAGCCTTGGCTTTTTAGGGTATGACTTAAGGATTATTTTTAAATGCTTTAACTTTTCTTAAATGTTTTAATTACATTGAAACAATATATTTCAAAGATCATTTTTTATACTTCCAAACTATCATTTAGAATGGAAAACAAATTTTTTTTTCCTAAGTCATCTGATAATTATGGTAAAAATATTTACCTTCATAGCATATAAATTAATACACACACACACACACACACACACATAATTTTATTGGAATCTCAAACTTTTAAGAAATACAAACACTTTAAGTACAGGATACAGAATAGCACAGTATATAGTATTGTAGTGGGTACATAACTCTGGCATTCGTTCAACAGATATTTCAGTTCCTATTATGTGTTAACAAATTGTAGATTTTATAATTACTATAATAATTAGGACAGACATGGCCCCTGCCCTCATGGAGCTTTTACTTAGTGATAAACATTGACGAATAAATAAATCATTAACCACATCATTTAGTCAGCTTTGCCCTGGATTAATTAGTACTATACCAGTTCAAGAAAGCCTCTTGGCCAGGTGCAGTGGCTCATGCCTGAAAAATTTCAACACTTTGGGAGGTTGAGGTAGGAGAATCGGTTGAGCCCAAGAGTTTGAAACCAGCCTGGGCAACATAGAGAGGCAGTCTCTGTACAAATTATGTAAAAGATTAGTCAGGAGTGGTGGTGCATGCCTGTAGTCACAACTACATGGGAGGCTGAAGTAAGAGGATTGTCTGAGCCTGGGAGGTTGAGGCTGCAGTGAGCTGAGATCCTGCCACTGCACTCCAGCCTGGGTGATAGAGTTGAGACCCTGTCTCAAAAAAAAAAAGGCGTCTTGGTAATACCTGGAACAATTAGATAAGAAGTGTTAAATATTTACCTTCATAGCATATAAATTAATACACACACACACACACACATAATTTTATTGGAATCTCAAACTTTTAAGAAATACAAACACTCTAAGTACAGGATACAGAATAGCACAGTATATTTTAATTTTGTTCTTTATTTCTGGGAGAATTCTGGCTTGTAGATATAATAAATAATAAAATTATAGCAGAACTGAATTGTCACCAGTGCTACTATAAACTATTTTTTCAGATGCACAGTTTTCTTGGCTAACTAGTTTGTTTCCTAAATTTTACAAGTGAATTTCTTTATAAAACCCAAAATTTCCTTCCTGTTTTAGTTTTTGCTTCAATATCTAAGTAAGAACGGATAGAAACAAGTGAGTTACACTTCTTTACCAAAACTATTTTAAAGGGAGGAATTGTTTTATAGTGATTAGAACAGAAAATTAGAAATTCACATTTCAGAGTTTTATTTTTGGCGCTCTGATTCTATGTGTGACCTTTTATGAGCTGTTTAATCTTATTCTGACTCAGTTTATTCAGTATACAATTTATGAAACACCAATGGTTTGTCTGTAAAGGGACTAATGTGTGTGTGTGTATTCCTTTTGCATACAATGAGAAAACATTTTATAGTTAAACATTCTCAAATCTTAAAACTGCTTTCAAAGAATCAGGTTTTTATATGCAAATTTATTTAGTTTATGTATTAATATATTTTGATAAATGTAGAAAAGTCAAGTTATAGCATGGTTTTTACTACTTTTCATTGGCACCAATTTTGAGGAAATTTTGGTAATAAAAAGTAAGAATCTTTGTCATCTTGGCCTTTGGGGATAGCTAGTAAAATACATTCAACCAATGTAGTCTTTCAGTCCCCACCCAGTACCCGCTAAACACCAAGTTTTGTTTTCCATACTAAGAGTCTGATAGACTGTGTTAGAAATATATTGAAGGGAATTGGGACAAGAGGAGTTATGGAACAAATGTTGCTTCCTGAAGATCCTTTATTTATACCTGATTTATTAGTATCAGAAACCAGAGAGTAATTCAAACTTTAAGGTAGAGGTTCTTAATTCTGAATCCCCTATACTCAGCCTTACAAGGTTTATGAGTGGGCTTCAAGATCTGAAAACCTTCTGGAGTTACATGTAAAACTTCCTATTTAAGGGCTTGTGTACATTTTTCTTGGGAGGCAGTCGATAGAATAGCTTTTATTAGCTTCCCAAAATAATCCTTGACTCAGAATAGCTTTAGGAATTTGTGAAAATAAATTTTGGGTAACTGTACACACATATGCCAATAGAAATGAATTTTCAGCATCTTTACATTTTGGCAGAGGTACTAAGCACTACTATTGGAAAGAGCTAAAAGCATACTTATTTCTAAAATGATAAACATGACCTTGGTAGGTGTGTTTGTACGTAGCTGTGGATAACCACTGATTTTCTTAGTTTATCATGAAGTGTCTTTGAATATTTTCTGTAGGACACATATACCTTTGTTATCTATTACAGACTTCAAAGACTACTGAGCATTACTAAGAGACATATTAGTAAAAAGTCAAATACCCATTTTTGCATTCATTTTTATTTCTTATATTTGAAGGTAAGCTATTCGAATTAGAGTGTTAATGTGATACCCTATGAAGGGTACAGTTTTTGGAAATAGATCTAAGTTTAAATCTTTACCTTGACTAAATTACGTATCTTCTCTGAGGCCTAAAGAATAGGATAGCATTTGTTATATGGAATTGTTGTGATACTTAAACACGATAATTTATATCAAGAGCATGGCATGGAGTTGGTATGCAAATGAGATTATTTCCCTGCAATTATAATGTAGGGAAATAATTTTTATTTTTTATTTAAAATAGTCTCACTCTGTCACCCCAGCTGGAGTGCCATGGCATGATCTTGGCTCACTACAACTTCTGCCTCCTGGGTTCAGATGGTTCTCCTGTCTCAGCCTCCTACATATTCTGCATAGCTGGGATTACAGGCATGCACCACAATGCCTCGCTAATTTTTATATTTTTAATAGAGACAGGGGTTTCACCATGTTGGCCAGGCTGGTCTTGAACTCCTGACCTCATGATCTGCCTGCCTTGGCCTCCCAAAATACTGGGATTACAGGCGTGAGCCACTGTGCCTGGCTGATTTACTTTTTATAGAGAATAAATAGCTTGACTTTTGTTTTCTACAGGTCAGTGGTCTTTATCTTTTCAAAGAGAAGTTTGAAAGTGATCCGCCTGCCTTGGCCTCCCAAGATAACCTATTATTTTAATAGTAAAAAATAAATATAATTGTCTTGTCCTATTGTTATAGTTTGCCATTTACATTTGTAAGTGATAGCACTATAAATTTTGTAAAAGTACATATATTTGATTCAATTTAAAGAACAAAGATAAATTCCTAGCGGCATAAATATTTCAAATAATTGACTTTTAGTCAGAGATATAACAGTATCTGTAATATACTAATGTTGTTCTCTATGGAACAGTTAAAATTTGTTGTCTTCATCTTCCCCCAGAGGAAAATTTGCTGTGGTTAGACAATGTATATCAAAATCTACTGGCCAAGAATATGCTGCAAAATTTCTAAAAAAGAGAAGAAGAGGACAGGATTGTCGAGCAGAGATTTTACATGAGATTGCTGTGCTTGAACTGGCAAAGTCCTGTCCCCGTGTTATTAATCTTCATGAGGTCTATGAAAATACAAGTGAAATCATTTTGATATTGGAATAGTAAGTATATACTTAATGGTACCTATTTTAATTGCTATGATAAGATGATTGAAATGTCAAGAATACGAATGATAAAAGTATGACAAGCACTTGTAAACATTCCTGTTAATAAAATGTAAAAGGATCCTAGTTTATATTTGAATATTTTCATAAGGCTAAATGTACAGCCTCAGGCACATACATAAAAAACTAACAACACAAAATAAACAAATGACAAACACAACATTTGGGAAATATGGAGAAATGAATATACTATTATTTTGTTAATGGCTAATTGAATTTTTCTGGAACTCAATCTGGTGGGCAGATAGAATTGAAATAATTTGTATATTTTCTTCATCTATTTGAAAAATACTTTCAAGAAAATAAGGAGAATAGAAAGTAAACTACATAAAACTATGCTTAATACATTGTTAAAGAAATACATTTAGTATATGTAATGCGTAAAACACTATGTTAGGAGTTGCAGCAATAAGAAATATATCTCTTGCCACAGGTCTGTGAAAAAAGTGAAAACACCTAAATATTCCACAGTTTACCAGGTGGTAGGGATAGAGAATTGTTAAGGTAACTGGTTTGTTAGACATGTGACTCTTACAGAGTGCTTTTGTCGCATGATTATCTGACACATTTATTACAGATATGTAAAATGTGTTGAACATTTGCAACATTCGGAAGAGATCAGCTAGATTTATGTTTAGTACACCTAAGGTGACAATAGTTTTTAATAAGGTAAATCTATTTTTTGGTATGAGGAGGTATTTATTTTAGTAAAAAATGTATTGCTAACTATAGTAATTATTTTTAGTAACTAATTTTCATTTTTGCCTTTTTAAATTTAAAGATTTATTAACCTTATTTTTGTATTCAGTTACTTTAAAATTAATGTTTTTGTTCCATGAAATAGATTGGCTGGAATCAACTTGTGAGTGAAAATGATGATTTTGCAAAATGTTAAACTGACAAGTAGTTCGTTTAAGAATGAATACTCTGTACATTTCTCAGAACCATATTAAGGTGTGTTATATAGCACTTTCAAAATAAATTAGAATTTCAGAAAAGGCCAAGATACTACCAGAATGACTTCATTTTTCATACATTTTGTAATTATTTTTGTCAAAGAGTCTTCAGCTGACCTTTAAAAAGTTAGCTACTTGCATAACATCTGCATGTTTGAAGTATGTAAAAAGTAGCTAACATTTGTCAAAAACAGTAGTGGAATACTAGGTCTGGAGGATGAATATACATAAGAACATTGACTACTTTCATGAAATCCTCTTTTGGGGGTTCATCCAAACAGCAACAACAAAATACATCAGAAAGATTTGAGACATTTTATGGATGGACCTTGTTCATACTCCAGAAAATTGACTCAGGTATCTTGCCCAGTAACTGGCAGAACTTACTGATCTCTATATCTCTGGCTGAAATGTAGCAAGTACTCAGGAAATGTTTAAGTAGATTAATGTGTTAAATTTCTTACCAGAGTGACTTAGACCCACTAAAATTTGTTGCTAGGACTTTGGCTTAATTACTATGCCTACCACTTTTGGGTAGCATTGTCACATTTAGTAGTCTCAGTAGAAGGTAAAAATTTAATCAGGGAGGTTTAGTTATTTTAGTAGTGTGGCATAATTTTTATATGGTGAAAATAAAATGGTGGAATCTTTAATAACTATCACCCAGTCAATTCTGTCCTCAAATCATCCCACACACTTTTTCTTCCCCAACTCTTATTTTACAAAATTTCAAATCTACAGAAAAGTTGAAAAAAAAATAGTACATTTAACATCCTTATACTCCTCACTTGTGTTCACCAATTGTTGGCATTTTGCCACCTATACCAAACCATTTGAAAGTTGTAGGTATTATGATACTTCTTTTTATCCTGAAGTATTTATTTGGTGTGGGTGATGCATATTTATTGTTATCACATCAGATGGCAATAAAGTCAGGTTGTTTTATTACTGGTTTTGCTAAATTTGAACATGCTTAAGGTGTAGTCTTCTAGCTTTCCTCATCATAAAGGAAAATTTTCCCTTTTTAATTAATAAATCTATTAATGATATTTAGAGACCATGTGAATATTATCTTAACAACTTTTTATCTAATGATTTTCCTTCTCCCTTTTTAATGTTTCTAAGGATTTCATGTTTTTTTTTTAAAATTAAACTAACACATGACATTAATGGAAAATAACCTGTTACGTTTTAATTAATGGGTTCTAATCAGTTTCTGCCACATTTTTTTTAAATGCTCAAATTCTCCCAAGTTTATCAGTGGATCCCTTTCAGGCTACTTTGTATGTCCTTTCAATGTAATCTCATTAGTGTTTGAGGACTTCCTTGCCTTATGCACTTTAAGATTTCCAGCGTCATCTTGTTATCTTCCCTGCCCCAGACCTGTAATCAGCTATCTAAGAAGTTCTGCTTCATTTAAATAGGGAATAGCATTTAGAAACCAAATATGGGCGTTGGACATGCTGATTTTTAACAAAGTATGATTATTTTTAGGCCTTTTCTAAGGATAGTGTTAGGAAATCCTTTTTTCCAAAATCATGAATTTATTCTCATAGCTCCAATTCAAGCCCATGACTACAAGGTTTCTCATCACTTCTCACATTCTATATGTGCATCTCCCCTGTCTCACAGTGAAAACTCAGGTTCTCAGCAATTCCTCCTCATTTACTTTATCCAACAATATATACAAGATAGTTTCAGCATTAACAATACTGATACCACTACTAACAGCAAACTACTTAGTACACCTTTTTTTTTTGGATATTGTTTTTGTACTTAGACTATCGCCCATTAATGATATCTAGTCAGAGTTATATATATATATTTCTTTCTGTTTATATTCAATGTTAGGATTTGATTTTTGAAATTCTTAAAAAGGTTTGTATGATTCAAAACTCATAAAAATGTGGCCAGTCATAGTAGCTCATGCCTGTAATGCTAGCAATTTGGGAGGCTGAGGTGGGAGGATTACTTGAATCCAGGGGTTCAAGAACAGCCTAGGCAACAAACTGAGACCCCCATCTGCATATATTTAAAAAGTTGAAAAAATTATTTTTTAAACCACAAAACACCTATAAAAAATTGTATCCCCTGTACTCCAAAATCTTGCTCTCATTCCTATTCCTTCTACTCTCTTCCGACCCAATGAATACATGTGGCTACCTTTATGGGTAACCATTCTTTGTTACCTATAACTCATTCTTTATGTGTTTCTTCTTGAAGATATAAGCAAACTTGTATATATTTACTCTTACTTACAGAAAAGGTAGTATATTATGTACTTCTTTGCACCTTGTTGTTTTTGTTTACTTAACAATATATTCCAGAAATCATTCAACATTAGTTCATAGGCATCTTTCTTACTATTATTATGGCTGGTTTCTTAAATGGCTGCACAGTACTCTGTTGTATGGTTGGATCTTGCTTTAGTCAGTCGACCTCCTATGAATGGGCATTATTAATGGAGATGTAGCTTTAGAGTAAATTCCTAGAAGAATGATTGCTGGTCAAAGAGTAAATGCATATGTAGTTGTAGTAGATGTAAAATTTCCTTCCATGTGAGCAGCACACAGTCACTTTTAAAAGGCACTTTTTGATTTGTTCCATTTGCTAATTATAAATTAATCTGGAACTTCTGGAACAATTATAGCTTCTTTTTGGTTTTCTGTTTTGTTTTGCCTCTACCTAACCTATTTTTTGAATCAGATTGTTTACTTTTGTGAATTAATCTTAAATTCTTGCAACCTGCTTGTCACTTTTAACAATTATTAAAATTGTTCATTTTATTTTAATACGTAGTTCATAGGAAAGTATTTCATTGCCAGTTACAAAGTCTACATGATTTTTTTTAGCCCTTTATTTCCTTGGAAAGTAATATAAATCTTTACTTTTCTGGATGGTAGTATTAGATCTTTTTATACATATGGAGGAAAATTTGAGGATAATTGAGTCATTGCATCACCACTGTCCATGAGACGAAGACTTTTCCACACCAAGTGTCTTTAAAGTGTATTTGGAGAATTAAATAAAATATAGCAATACATTTTAAAAACCTTTTTTAAAAACTTCTGGAAGGAAGGTATTATCTAATTGGACATACTAAGTTTTTAATGCTGCATTTTGAGCAAATTAAAGTTGGTTATAAAGAACAGTTACCTTTTGGAGAACACAGGACAGAAACTTTGTCCTAGAAATAGTGAAGATCAAAAGGGGAACTTATATTCATCAGAGACAACTCTGAGATTATGTGAGAATGCTATTTTCTTTTTGTCAAGAAATTTTGTCTATTACACATCTCTAAGTAAATACTATAGACCAAACAGAAAAGGATGGAGACTGTAACAAAACATGCAAAATAGAAAATCTTACCTTCTGGAATGATCTCAATCACCAGAGAAATACATTTAATACGATCTTAACAATTTCAATCATAACATGTGTTGAACATTTACTATCTGGCTGGCACTATGATCAGCACATTATCTGTATTTTCATTTGATTTTTAAAACAATCCTCCAAAAAGAGAAATTGATATTTACATCATATATCTAGTTAATACTCTAATGTCTTCCCATTCTAAAATCCTGTTGATTTTGTTTCTTCCATTAGAATAGGAATATAATTTTCAAGAGCACTAAATAAACTAAATTTAAAACAAGTTTATTTTGATCACTAGAAATAAATGCTTATTTAAAAATTCTTTACCATGGCTTTTCAAAGCTATATGACTAGATTTGCATTTTATGGATAATTGAGATATTACTTTGTTTTACTGAAAATCTGGGCTTTCTATAACACAAAAATTAGCATTTTTGGTAGGAACATACTCTGATTTTAATTTTTCATATATGTATGTTATAGGAGTCTTTCTAAAAGATTTTTTTCTACTTGCTGTCCCCTATAAAAGACAGATGTAGATCTAGATAATATATAGCACATAGGTTTTTATGACTGTATAACCTGTGCTAAAGTGCTGATATCACAGTTACATGTAATACATGTACACATGCATTAGCAAGTGGACACAGATGCTGAATTTCTAAATTTTTTATATATCCCTGCAAGGGGCAAACTCTTTTTAGAGAGAGAGAGAGTAGAAGTCACCTGAATGTAACTCCCAGGTCAATGATAATGATATAGGTGGCTTTTCAGACTGTAAATATTTTTCCTTTTTCTTTTCTTTCTTTTTTTTTTGTCACTGCTCTGGGTGGCTTCTTTAACAAAAGTCTTGTTTGCTACTCACTGCTTCTGTTTCTTTTTTCCAATTTCTGCTAACTTCTGCAATTTGCTTCTTGTGTAATCTGTTCTTTCCCTTCTCTTATCTCTTCTTAATTTTCTGTTTTCCATAGTTCCACCTGTGTCACTCTGTTGTGTGAGAAATAGCAGTCCTACAAAAGACATTGGCTACCTTGTCAAACTAAAAGGAAAAGACAGTGTGATTGGCTGACGATCATAGTATATTATTTGATCTTATTAAACAAGCAAAAAACTCTGAAGATACTTTCTCTGGTTATAAAAATAATACCTATTCATTGTGTTAAATTTAGAAGACAGAGAAAAGAGAAATCACATGTAAACGATGGTTACTTCATGGTATATTCCTGTATTTAAAAATTATTTTTTGGTCTGTGCATATATACTTTTAGAGACAAAATTTTGATCTACTGGGCATATTCTATTGTAACCCTCTTTTCACTTAAGAATATAGTGTGTGCATCTTTATGTGTACCATATAGTGTTTCTAAAAATAGATTATAATTTAGCAAAGACTTTAAAAATTTCCTTCAAAATCAGAGTTTAACCAAGTCTCAAAATTCGGAAAGGTGAGATGTTGGCTAGATTTGCATTTAATGTTTGTTGGCTCATTATAATAATAGCTTAGCTGATATTAATTGAATATTTACCATGTGTCAGATACTGTGATAAATATTTATTGAAATGATCTGCTTTGATTCTTCTAGGATCTGTTGTGCTCAATACTTTATAAGGATTATCCAGTTTAATTCTTAGACCAGTGAAGTAGGAGCTATGTATTAATGTATTATTCACATTACAGTAGAAGAAACAGAGGCATATTTTGTCCCAGTTCACCTAGGCTAGTTAGTGACAGAGCTAGAATGAAACCCAGGCAGTCTTTATTTCAGTAGGCACTCCTATACACACCATGCTATCCTGTCTCTTCCTAGGCACTGGAAATTGCTTTCATACTTTCGCTTTACTTTCTTGTATTTTGTTTTGAATTTTAGAATTGGTAGAGTGTTCTGGTTATTGAAGTAACTTTAGAGAATTTGTAGTATAAAATGTTGGTAAATAAGTAACATAAAGTATTCAAGAATGAATTTCTTACCTAAACTATGTTGTTGTACATATGAAGAATACACATCTATTTTTTATGTATATTTAGAGGATCTAAATATGTAAATTCATGTTTTACACAGTTTTCTAATAATTTAAAGTTATTTGGCCTGATTTTTATAAGATAGGACTAGATTATTAGTATTTATATCTTGTAAAGTACCTAACAAAGAATATATTCTAAGAGAATCTAAAGTGTTCTCTCGTCATTTTCTTATTTGCTTGATTGCATTAGTAATATTACCTAATGTATTATTTGTAATATTCTTTCGAGTGTCTTTGCAGGAATGTATTTAGATCAGTTTCTATTTTGAGAGAATTTGTATCATCGAGACTAAACAATGTAACCAGAAAGGGAAGGAGTGATGGTGTCACTGCCAGTCTGTGCCTTGGTTCCCACTCTGCCCTCAAGAGACCTTGAGAATGGGTGTGAGAAATGAATACTGACATGCAGACCAAGGTCTCCTAGGTAGTCTGTATACTAATTATTCTGGAAGATTAATATATTTCTTTTTTAAATTAAAAAAAATAATGTGAATTCCCAAAATTGTTATTTTGGAGTTCACTACTACAAATTTAATAGCAATCTCCACTTTTCAATACTCAGATTATCATGATATGTTGAGGCAGATGTTAAAATTAATGTCTCATGAATTTACAGGGAGTTTTCGTGGGTAGAATGGGATTAAAGTGACATATACGTGATTGGAGCTTTCACATGTATTTCTTATAAGCTGTCCTATAGACTTTTTTCCTGCAAGGTCAGAAAGTATACAGCAGCAAATCTTTGTGGCTCCTGACTGGCTCACTACTTTCAGATGGCTCAATTGCAAGTTATATCTGCAGTGTGAAATGTCATTCCTTGTGACTGTCAACTTGGGACTCAAATTTGAGCTCAACATTATTTTTTCTTCTTATGGCACTTAACACTTACGACATATTCCTTCCTCTTGGCAGTCACTGAGACTGCTGAATCCCCAGTTTCGACCCCTCTAAAGAATCACTGCCTAGTCCATCATTAATTCATTCAACAAACATTACTGATTACCTGCTACAGTACATGCTAGATACTGTTCTTGATGTGGTTGTAGCAGTGAGCCAAAGAAGTAAAAATACAGTAATAGTATTTTCTAGAGTGAGTTCCTGTTTTATCACATAGAATATACTTGTGTATTCCCAAACATACCTTACAAATTTGATGAATAATTGTATAAATGTTTTTGCATGATGTTCTGACTGACCAATTTTATCTGACTTAGATTTAATTGCCCCCCCAAAAAAGTTTTGATTTTAATGGTATTTCTGCTTTATAGGTGACTATAAGTAACTGATTCTAAGTTATATTGTGGGTAAATAGCAAAGTTAGGTTTTATGTTCCAATTATTTATTACAAACCTAGGAATTTTTCACTGTGCCACTTTCAGTGTTCTTTAAATTTTAATTCTTTAGAATTTATTTATTTATTTGGGTTCTGGCCCCAAGTATTCTGGATGAAGCTACAATACAGGATCCTGTTGGCTAAGAATGCAGATTCTTACTCATATTATGCAGATTCACATTCTGGCCATCTGTTTACTGTGTGACCTTTTACAGGTTTCTTAACCTAATTGTACTTGTTTCGTCTGTAAAATGGGTGTAATAACCATGTACCTCATGTTTGTCATGAGGCTCAAAATAGATGATATATATATATATATATCATATATATATGAATTGATATATATATGAATGATACATATATACATTGATATATATGAATATCATCTATTTTGAGCCTCATGACAAAATAGAATATTAATTGATATATATGTGTATATATATATATATATATGAAGAAAGCACAAAGAGCTACTGTTTTTATTATGTTTATTGCAGTGAAGGCAGGCTGCAGCATTATTGGATCATAAAGCAATTCAGTTTTATTTATTAATATTCAAGTATTAGTACCAGAATTTGAAATAGTCTTATTGCTTCTTTTCTTTTTCTCTTTCTTTTTTTTAATTTTTTTTTTTTTTTTTGAGATGGATTCTTGCCCTGTAGCTCAGGCTGGAGTGCAGTGCTGCAATCTCGGCTCACTACAACCTTCGCCACCCAGGTTCAAGTGATTCTGCTGCCTCAGCTTCCCGAGTAGCTGAGAGTACAGGCACCTGCCACCATGCCTGGCTAATTTTTGTATTTTTAGTAGAGATGGGGTTTCACCATGTTGGCCAAGCTGGTCTCCACTCCCGACCTTCGGTGATCTACCTGTCTCAGCCTCCCATGGTGCTAGGATTACGGGCATGAACCACCGCGCCCGGCCATCATCACTTATTTTTTTCCTTAAGGATCTCTCACTTCCCTGCCCTATCTTTAAATGTATGTATTAACATTTATATAGTTGTATGTCTTTTACTTAACAGGTGCACAATATTTAAAAGTTTTAAGGTGAATGAATTTTCAAGTCTCCGTTCTTTGAATTTTATTTTAGTGCTGCAGGTGGAGAAATTTTCAACCTGTGTTTACCTGAGTTGGCTGAAATGGTTTCTGAAAATGATGTTATCAGACTCATTAAACAGATACTTGAAGGGGTTTATTATCTACATCAGAATAACATCGTACACCTTGATTTAAAGGTAACATAACATGATTTAAAGTAATACAACATTTGTCTTCTTCTTCTGCTGTTTGTATACGCAATTGCAAACTGGTATTAACAGGAAACAATGGTCAATCCTGGTTGTCTAGACTGTACTGCTTTGTTTAACTGTGTGCTGTGTGGCTTTAATTTTATATTGGCAGAAAGGAGGAGACTATGTGTGTGAGCAGCTCAAATTAATCACTGGGCTCTTAAAATGCATCATTGCTGTGTTCTAATCCTATTCCATCCCACTCTTACAACCATATCCTGGACCTTCTTATTTTATAAGGCTGTCTATCTCTGAAATGCTTAATTATATAATCTCCATCTCTGAAAATAAATCCTGCTAATCCTCATTCATTTGCTCCCATTACCTTCATTCATTTTTGTCTTGAGGTTTTCAGTCTTTTGGCTCCTTCCAGATCATTCCAACTCTTTACCCAAGCCCCAAACCTCGAGTCTCCTTTCTCCATCTTTCATGTTCTTATTCTTTCTCTTTATCCTTCCTTCATAGCCACACAAGGATCTTAGGATCCAAATCACTTTCTTATTTTTCGAGCATTAGATTCTTCTATTTTTATGTGGTCTCCTTGCATAATCCTTTGGCTTCTACTACCACTTTAATAATAATAATAATTCCAAAATCTCGACCTACCCCAGGCCTCTCCCTTAATTTCCAAATCCTCTTACTGCCTTTTCAAAAGAAAAAACCCTGTAGTTCTGTTTTGGGCCCCACTATGGAACAGGGGAACAGTATTTATCATCTAGCATCCCTGCTATTTCCTCAACTGAAAAATATTGAAAAAGAAGCAGCATAGTAAATGCCAAGATAATCATGCTCTCATCAGCTTCTTCTTGGGTCATTTTCCTGCTGACGTCAACCCAGGTACATTACATAGCATCATATACCACTTGAAGTCTGGGATGGCATATAAACCTGTGGTTGACAACAACAGAGTTAATTACCTTTACCTTTTCTCCTGTAATAGGCTCTGTGCTTTAATAATAAATAAGCATGAGATTTTCCCAAAGCTAAGCAACTGTTATAATTCTTTGCACAGATTTTGGGAGCAGCACCTTGGCAGGGGTATGGGTTATGACAGCATCAGGGGACTTTGTAATAGGCCATGGGCCTGCAGTAGTAAAGCAAAGTCACATGGTTCTAGGAGGCAACAGATGAGGTGTACTATGCCTCTTATTGTCTAAGCTAAAGCCAGGGAACAGTCAGACCCAGCTCATCCAGAATCATCCCATTTTTCGTTTCTGGAAATGTTTACATGCTCATTCCTCATGCTTTTTGTGCTGTTCCCCAGAGCACATTTCTTTTTCTTTTCTTTTCTTTTTTTTTTTTTTAAGACAGGGTTTCACTATGTTGCACAGGCTATTCTTGAACTCTTGAGTTCAAACAATCCTCCCACCATTGCCTCCCAAGTAGCTGAGACTACAGGTTCACACCACTGCACCCAGCTACCCAGAGCACCTTTCTAACCAGCATACTCTTACTTTAAGACTCAGCTTAAGCATCATCTCTACTGCAAAGACTTCTTGGAATTTCTTATTGACAGAATGAGGTAGTCTTTTTATCACTGAGTATTCTATATCTTAAACAATTTTTCCATCTAACTTCTTTTTTCTTCAAACATAGAATCCTTTTTGAGTGTGTTTTTGTCTTTATGCATCATTGAATAATAGCTCCTCCTAAGTAATATGAGTCAGTAAATGTTTGATACATGATTCAATGAAATGTATAATAGCTAAGCAATACATTCCACTTAATAAACCTCCCATCTGAGACTAGTATTCTTTTATTGTATATTACTTATGTTTTTCTTGTGCTTTATTTAGCCACAGAATATATTACTGAGCAGCATATACCCTCTCGGGGACATTAAAATAGTAGATTTTGGAATGTCTCGAAAAATAGGGAATGCATGTGAACTTCGGGAAATCATGGGAACACCAGAATATTTAGGTAAGAATTTCATTTTATTTCCTATACCATTTTGAAATGTATTTAGTAAATGATACCTCTGTGGAACTTGGTATCATTTAGAGCATGTAATTCAATGCAGTTAAAAGGATTTGATTGGTTCAAGTATTTTGATACATTAAAACTTGGTTATGACACAATTATTGAAATGTATTGAATAAAAGTATCAAACATTTACAGCAGTTCAGGGGACACTGTATATTTAAGTGTACAAGTTGAATGTTTGTGTATAAAGGCTTTGTACATAAGGAAAAAAGAAATGGATAAGAGTGAAGTTAGGGAAAAATGGAAAATGAAAAACTGCAACAGTCAAGTGGCCCACGACTGTCTTTGAAGCCTGGCTGTTGGCTAGATCTCACTTCTAATTTCTGTCTGGTCCCAATTCCAGAGTGTTTGCAATACAGGTATCTTTGGTTTAAACTTACAGGAATTGTTAGCCCACGACCCCTTTTCTGTTTATTGCTGCTGCTTTAAAATATGAGGTTTTGCGTAGGGTTGTGAAAGTAGGGTTTGCAGAAGAGTGCCAAAAAGACCCTTTGATTAGGTAATCTGGGCATATTATATGAAATCAACAAATTAGATTATGCGTATGAAAGGTTTTTAAGTTGTATAAAGCAGCCTATACATTTGAAGTATTTTAACTTATAATAATAATCTTGTTACCTTTTTTTGTTTGTTGTTCATACTTACATCCCCATGTGGACATTGAAAAGATACAACTAAGCAGAACAGATGCGACCCAGGCAGCTGTCTTTTACAAAAATAAAAAACAAAGAGAATTCCTAACTTTTGAATGCTAACTGGGTCTATAGTCCTAGAATAAATGAATGTAATTATTGGTAACAAAGCTCACAGAAATATGTGAAAATGTAGGTGGTTTAACAGAAGCTGACTATATATGTTTTAAAGGCTTTATTAATAAATGTTAGGCTTTAAGAAACAGTTTCTTTTTGGAGAAATTATGAAACCATATTGCAAAACAAGAAGCTTATTTTTCAGTCATAAATCCTACTTTGGACTCTCCTAATTTGAAATATATGGTAATGTTTAGAAAGTATAGAGAATTTGTTTTATACCTTTTTTGGCAAGTGAAGACAGCAGAAAATTAATTGCTCTGGAAATTAGGTCCTTGATAGTTTAAAAGGAATGTTTAATCCACTTGAAAGTCTAGCATTTCAAGCCCAGGCGCAGTGGCTCATGCTTGTAATCCCAGCACTTTGGGAGGCTGAGGCTGGCAGATCACAAGGTCAGGAATTCAAGACCAACCTGGCCAACATGGTGAAACCCCATCTCTATTAAAAATAAAAAAAATTACCGGGGCATGGTGGCAGGTGCCTGTAACTTCAGCCACTTGGGAAACTGAGGCAGGAGAATAGCTTGAACCTGGGAGGTGGAGGTTGCAGTGAGCCGAGATTGCACCATTGTACTCCACCCTGGGTGACAGAACGAGGCTCCATTTCAAAAAAATAGAAAGGAAAATACAGCATTTCTGGCTGGGTGAGGTGGCTCATGCCTATAAGCCCAGCACTTTGGGAGCCTGAGGCAGGTGGATCACTTGAGGGTCAGGAGTTTTGAGACCAGCCTAACCAACATGGTAAAACCCCATCTCTACTAAAAATACAAAATTAGCCAGGTGTGGTGGTGCATGCCTGTAATCCCAGATACTTGGGAGGCTGAGGCAGCAGAATTGCTTGAATCCAAGAGGCAGAGGTTGCAGTGAGCTGAGATCATGCCATTTGTACTCCAGCCTGGGCAACAAGAGTGAAACTCCATCTCAAAAAAGTAAAAAGAAAATCTAGCATTTTCGAGAAGCATAATTTACTCATAATGTCATTGCTGATGCCCATGATCCTATTTACTCCAAAAGAGAAACTTAAATTACTCTAATAAGATAATGCAAATTAATTCCAAAATAATAAAAAAAATTTTAAATTCTAGCTTCCAACATTTTACTTCTTTTAATTGTTCTTTCTGAGATTAACCTTAATGAGTTTAACTACCTAGCCACTAGTTACTCCAAGAATATTATCAGTGTTTTTGAACCATCTGATCATAGAATTGACTCAATATTAGGGATGTTTAAAGGTCCAATCACAGAATAATTAATACTGTGCTAAATTTCTAAATTTCTATTATCTTACTAGGCTTTCCAAAATTAAATCCAGTTATAATTTTTTTTTTTTTTTTGAGAGGGAGTTTCAGTCTGTCGCCCAGGCTGGAGTGCAGTGGTGTGATCTCAGTTCACTGCAACCTCCACTCCTGGGTTCAAGGGATTCTTCTGCCTCAGCCTCCTGAGTAGCTGGGATTATAGGCATGTGCCACCATGCCTGGCTCATTTTCATATTTTTAGTAGAGACAGGGTTTCACCATGTTAGCCAGGCTGGTCTCGAACTCCTGGCCACAGGTGATCTGCTCACCTTGGCCTCCCAAATTGCTGAGATTATAGGTGTGAGCCATCACGCCCAGCCCCAGTTATAATTTAATATAAAGTAATTTTCTTGTTTTAAATTTGTCAATATTTAATTTAAATTTTATCTTCTCTTTCAGCTCCAGAAATCCTGAACTATGATCCCATTACCACAGCAACAGATATGTGGTAAGCTTTTGTTAGTTACCTAAACACCTTTGTGGAAAGTTGGGAAATGTATATTGTGGAGTTCTTTGACTCCAAGAGTAAATAATAAGGCTTTCTTCAAAAGATTTGATTTGAATATCATTATTATGCTATAGGAAAGTATTTACCTATCCATTTTTTTAAAATAACACTTAAGTTCTGAGCCAAAAGTAAAATAAATAGGAAAATTTCTGTGATGAAAACTCCGTTGAGTAAAAGAACAAAATAACTGCAGTATAGTGCTACATGTTTTATAATAAAGGTGAAATGCTTAATAAGCATAGAAGCAGCAGCAGAGAGTCCATTGCTGGATTGCACCTCACAAAGGGAGACATCTGATCTAGGTCTAAAAGAGTTGGCTAGGCATGGTTCATGCCTGTAATCCCAGCACTTTGGGAGGCTGATCAGGCAGATCATGAGGTCAGGAGTTTGAGACCAGCCTGGCCAACATAGTGAAACCCCATCTCTACTAAAAATACAAAAATTAACTGGGCGTGGTGGTGAGCTACTGTAATCCCAGCTACTCAGGAGGATGAGGTAGGAGAATTACTTGAATCAGGCAGGGGGAGATTGCAGTGAGCTGAGATCACACCATTGCACTCCAGCCTGGGTGACGGAGACTTTCTCAAAAAAAAAAGCTAGAAGAAGATATTTGTTAAGCAGAAAAATGAGTTTAGGTCCACCCAGAAATGTACTTTTATGAGAGTACATCTCTAGGAAATTGTGAGTTTTTGTGGCTACCAAAGAGAGAATAGGATAGGAAATAGAACCAGAAGTGATACTGGAGCTTCAGTTGAGACCACAGAGGGGACTGACTCCACAGACCAAGTGGAAGGTTTAGACCTGTTCTTTGTGTTTCATGGAGCTGCTCATGGGTTTGCCCAGGAAAAAAGATGGTATGGCTAAATAAGTTGGTAAAACATGTAATCTATATTGTCTTTTTCTGGCTCCTGGGCATCAGACTTGCCATTAACATATTTACAGACTTTAAAAGGTTTGCAGTGAAAAAATTTGCCTGCCCAGCTTTGTGCTTCACCAAACTTGCAGCCTCTATTTGCACAGAACTTCTCTTTACATCTCATAAGGCATGATTTTGCCCTTGGAAACCATTTAGGAAATGCTGCAGCAACTTTGTGTACTCCACAGCAGGTATCTCTGTAAAGGGTAGATTGTAGCGATAATTATGTATATTGTATACAATGTATTTATGTAACACATGTGCATTCCTTGTATTCTCTTTCTATGAGGCACACTTTGAGATCATTATTTTAGTTTTAATAATACAGGAATTTTGAAAAGCAATTTAAGTCTGTATATAACTCTACCAGTTTTGAGGAGAGGAGTATGTTGAATGTCGATTGTACTTTATATAAATGTTCAAAAATTAACATATATTTTAAGTTCCCCTCCCTTGTTTTTCAGGAATATTGGTATAATAACATATATGTTGTTAACTCACACATCACCATTTGTGGGAGAAGATAATCAAGAAACATACCTCAATATTTCTCAAGTTAATGTAGATTATTCAGAAGAAACTTTTTCATCAGTTTCACAGCTGGCCACAGACTTCATTCAGAGCCTTTTAGTAAAAAATCCAGAGTAAGTAATAATTAGTTTAAATACTATTACAAATTTAATTTGTTTAAATACCATTACAGAATAAATAATATATGCCTATTAAGAAATTATATTTTAAAACAATAAAATTATTAGAAATATGCTCAAGTTCTATATAAAATGGAGAGAGAGGTAGTATGAACAATCATTAGCAAATATATAACTTCAGATATAGAATATACAACAAGGGATTCTTAAGTGAAGGAAAGTTTTATTTCTCTTACAACCCTCTACTCATAATAATTATCATTATTCTGTTCTGTACTGTTTGGATTTTATACTATGAGTATGTGTTATTTTCACAATAAATAAAAATTATGTCTATAATCTCTTAAACTGAAGACACTTTCAACTTGATTTTTAGTTCTCACTTTTCCCTTGGTGCTTTCTTTCAAAGGAAAAGACCAACAGCCGAAACATGCCTTTCTCATTCTTGGCTACAGCAGTGGGACTTTGAAAACTCGTTTCACCCTGAAGAAACTTCCAGTTCCTCTCAAATTCAGGATCATACTATAAGGTCCTCTGAAGACAAGACTTCTAAATCCTCCTGTAATGGAACCTGTGGTAACAGAGAAGATAAAGAGAATATCCCAGAGGATAGCAGCATGGTTTCCAAAAGATTTCGTTTCGATGACTCATTGCCCAATCCCCATGAACTTGTTTCAGATTTGCTCTGTTAGCACTTTTCTCTTTGACTTAATTGGACTGAATTTGAAATTTTATATTCACTCCAATGAGATTATGGTTTGTAGCTTCATATATGACATGTTTATATTGTAAATGCACTTTTGCATAGGATAATTTAGGGACGTGTTTTAATGTTAAGTTACTAGTCACTAGCATATTATGATTTCCTATTCTGAGATAGCTCTGCAAAGAAGAAAATATTTAAATATATGAAAAAAGTAAAATTGGACATGTATGTGAGTTTATATGTTAATGAAATAATTCAAGTTCAAATGAACTTATCAAAATGTTTTGCATATCAACAAAAAAAGTGGCTTGGGTTATATTATGGTTGGTATAAACTTAAGACAATGAAAACATTGGAATTTAATGGGTTCTCTCTCTCTAAGGTGACTGCTATATCATGCCTCTATCAACATAATTTGTTTATGAAAGCAATATGAAGTTTAAGCCAAAATGCATACTTTCTACTTTATAGATGCTCAAGAGATGTTTTACAGTTGAAAATGTTTTTTCTTTTCTTTTCTTTTTCAGACAGAGTCTCACTCTGTCGCCCAGGCTGGAGTGCAGTGGCGTGATCTCAGTTCACTGCAACCTCTACTTCCTGGGTTCAAGCGATCTCCTGCCTTAGCTTCCTGAATAGCTGGGACTACAGGTGCACACCACTGTGCCCAACTAATTTTTGTATTTCTCATAGAGATGGGGTTTCACCATGTTGGCCAGGCTGGTCTCAAACATCTGACCTTGTTATCTGCCTGTCTCGGCCTCCCGAGGTGCTGGCCCACCACACCCGGCCCTGAAATGTTGTTCAATTACAAATAGTTTGAAACTGCATAAGATTTTCATTCTTTAGGGTCTGCTATATGAGAGAGATCCTTTAATGAGAGCAAAGAGGGAGCTAGAAACCTGATCAGGAATATTCCTTACAAGTTGAAGCAGAGAAAAGAGTAGCATGGCTTCAGTTTTTAACTCAAATGTCTTTTTCCTCCTCTCAACTTACTTGAAATCTGATAAGCTCTAGAAGATGGAGATAGTCGGTATGCAAGTGTAGAGGATTTTTTTAATACTCCAGAATTTCTAGAATAGAAGATACTATAGGTAAAGTTAAATATTCTCTATTTTTGGTCAAACATATTTATTAACTGACTATAGAAGAAAAATGTTGACACACTCAGACAGCTTACTGAATTTTAGATGTCTTCTACATCTTAGAATACAAGCCAGTCATTCAGATTTCTAAAAGTATGCATAAAAAATTACAGCACCAGTAGGACTGTTAACACAATGCCCAAGTTAGCAGTGGCAAGGCTGATATGATCATAAAACATGACATCAGGCTCATCTGAAGTTGTTGTGTGAAATTCCTAGTGAGTGAGGAGGCTCAGGTTAGAGTGTCCCCTCATTGTGGTCTTTTGCTGGGACCAATGCAAGAAAGAGACTAGGGAGAGCAAAATGTTTGCTTATGGCCAGTGACTATGTCCAGCCCTAATGGTGGGGAAAGTTAGTCCTTTTTGGGTAATCTTTTATGAAATTTCACCTGATAACCGTTAAGTTATATTGGTCTATTATTATGTTAAGATAACTGTGATCTCATGACCATGTTGCTGTATCAAAAGAAGCTATTTTGACAATCAGTAACAACAACCTGGTGTTCCTCCTTTGAACCTTTAATATCTCAAAGTTTTGGTAAGACTCCAAATTCTTTAATAATAACTTAAAACAGTTTTGAATAACTGTCAGGTCAACTTATTTGACTACATGGTGAATTCATTTAATATCTTCGGCATTTGTTAAGGAAAAGTTTTTTCTACTGTGTGTATATGTGCACATGTGTGTATGTATCGGTGTGTGTATATATCTATAGATAGACACAATATATTCTTTAGACAGTTAAGATTCTTTGCTGTGGTATATTGTGCTCAACTCAAGTGCCAAAGGAGAGCTCTCTTTTTTTTTTTTTTTTTTTTTTTTTGAGATGGAGTTTCGCTCTGTTACCCAGGCTGGAGTCCAGTGGTGTGATCTTGGCTCACCGCAACCTCCCCCTCCTGCATTGAAGCGATTCTCCTACCTCAGCCTCCTGAGTAGCTGGAATTACAGGTACGTGCCACTGTGCCTGGCTAATTTTTGTATTTTTAGTAGATATGGGGTTTCACCATGTTGACCAGGCTGGTCACGACTCCGGACCTCAAGTGATCCTCCCACCTCGGCCCCTCAAAGTGTTGGAATTACAGGCATTAGCCACCAGGCCCAGCCCAGGAGTTCTCTTCTTATGACATATACAGATAAATTCCTTAAGTAGTTTTTTGGTCAATAAACCAGATATTGTAGAATCTAAATTGAGCTCTTATATATCCAAAACTGATAAGTTGTTTCTAAATTGTCAGTTGTCCATTTGCTTGCCTTTGGTATTAAGATAATGCAAGTAAAGCTTAGTAAGTCATTGGATAATGAGGAAATGATTATGTTTCTGAAGACCATATTTTTAATTTTTAGAGAAATTTTAAAATTATAAGCTCATTTGTAAAAAGTTGTTATACCAACTTTCTCTGAAAATTTTAAAATACAGAGTTAGTTAATAGAGTTAGAGTTAATAGAATACAGAGTTAGAAATTTCCATGCCTTTTTTCCTAATATTAAGTTTTATAGTTAAAAAAAGCAACTAGTGGTTGCACAAAGCATATAAAAATCCAATCTTTTTACAAAGGTGAATTTAAATAATTTTATTGATTGGAATATGAAAATAAACCAATCTTTTAAGAGCTTTTTAGCAAATGACTCAATTCTTACTCTTTGTCTCCAAAGGTTGAAAAGCATGATGTATTTCTCTAAAGTAGGAATCTAGAGAGCCCCTATGAGTGGACAGAAGTAACACTTGAACACATGTGAAAATAAGTGTTATATTGTGATATTTTAAAGTTTAATTTGCTTTTTGGATAGGATTCCTAGATAGATGGGATTTTTAAATAGATGATATATAGATGACAATTAAAATTGTCATTTTATTTTCCCTGCAGTAAAGAATGTAAATCTGAGCAGTGAAATTGTAATGGCACTTTAAAAGAAGTAAGCCATTAACTATTCTCTAGTCCAGCAATCCCCCAACCTTTTTGGCACTAGGGGTGGATTTTGCGGAAGAAAATTTTTCCACAGGACTTAGGGGTAGGGCGATGGTTTCAGGATGATTCAAGCACATTATGTTTATCATTAGATTCTCATAAGGAGCATGCAACCTAGATCCCTTGTATGTGTGATTCCAATAGGATTTGAGCTCCTATGAGAATTGAATACCATGGCTGATCTAACAGGAAGCAGAGCTCAGGCAGTAATGCTTGGCACCTCCCCTACCCCCCACTCCTTCTGTACAGACTGGATGTGGCCTGGGGTTTGGGGACCCCTGCTGTAGTCGTAATGAGATAAGGTGCTTGTGCCAGAATATAAATCAACACATTGCTTCCTTTATCAAAGAAGTCTTGTTATTTAAAAAAAAGTCAGCTGAGCCACTACAATTCGTGATGTAATTGATTTTCATTCTGGCACAAGCCTCTTTCATTCTGGACAGGTCACAGATAGTTAATGGGCCATACTTTGAATAGCTTTCTCTAAGCAACATTTATAAATATTGATATTTATAACTGTTTACATTTCTTGTGTTTATTTTTGAATTTTCAGTTTGATATCTGAGTTGATAGCATACTTATTCATTGTTGTATAAACACCTGTAATTGCAAGTAGTATTAAAATTACCTGACTTCAGTTTGGGGGGATTATTATCAATTTATAATTTTATAAAAGTATTTTAAAGAACAGTAATTGTAAATTGTACATAAATTATTTCCTTGCCATCTTTTATTAAATAATAATGCTTAAGGCATATAGACAGACATTATTATCAGTACTCTAGTAAACAAACTACATCAACTTAATCATTCTGGCTAAAAATTAAGCACTTTTTAACATCTGTGGTTGTCATTTGTTTTGAAGCATTTCTAAATTTATTGTTCTTAAAAGTGTGTCTAGATGTTCTGGCCTTTGATCTAGGTCATCTTTGAACCACTTTTGTGTCTAATAAACATATTTATAAAGGCATATAAATTTGAAAATGAGTAGGTCTATTCCCTGGTATCGAGGAATAATTTTTAGAAAATGTCAGTGAATGAATTTATACTACATGCTCTGCTACAGTGTACTATATGTTGCACAAAAGATGAAGGAGGGATTCTTCAAGATGTTTATAATCTGGTTGTAGGCTAAGTTATAGTCAATTCCCATTATTCTTGGTAGTTATGTTCTATAAAGTCCCCACAGCCGGGCACAGTGGCTCACGCCTGTAATCCCAGCACTTTGCTAGGCTGAGGCAGGCAGATCACGGGGTCAGGAGATCCAAGACCATCCTGGCTAACGTGGTAAAACCCCATCTCTACTAAAAATACAAAAATTAGCTGGACATGGTGGCGCATGCCTGCAATCCCAGCTACTCGGGAGGCTAAGGCAGGAGAATCATTTGAACCAGGGAGTCAGAGGTTGTGGTGAGCTGAGATCGCACCACTGCACTCCAGCCTGGTGACAGAGTGAGACTCCATCTCAAAAAAAAAAAGTTCCCATACTTCAGTTACTAATCATTGCTCCTAGGGGATATACAGAGTTAGGTTCCTGCAAACTTCTGTTGATAGCATTTTTAACTGATCAATGCATAATTTTGTTTTGTGTATTTCTATTTAATCATACTCCATTTCATATATATTGTTGATTCATCAACATTGAAATAACAGGCAATAGCACTGTAATTCAAGCCTGAATGAAACTTACCTACTACACATATTTTTGAGGGAGAAGGAAAAGAGAGATCACTGGAAAAATTCAGACTGCAGAAGCAGCCTGCCTGATAAGTCACACAGCAACAGGCAAAAAATAAAACAACCTTGGGAAAAACTTGGGCTGCACCTGGACAAAGATCAGGCTGTAAAACACAGATAAGCAACTCAGGCACAGAAGCCGGAGTGAATCTCCTGGGTAATCACTAAACTTCACACTCATACAGTGGATCCCAGTAAAAACAGCCTTAATAGGAACGTTCCTTTTCCTTTAGGCACACTAAGATAGGGAAGCTAGAAGCAGATGTTTCAGGGGGATTCCTGCAGCTGCAAGAAAATGTCTGGGAACAGAGACAGAAACTCTTCCCCCACCCAAATAAGGGACATAAAGCAGCACACAGCAACACAGACTGAGAGTCTGCCTACGTGATCCAGGAATTAGGTAAAGGCTGATAGAAACTGCTCTATGCAGATAGCACACCTGGTCCCAACTAAATCTTGGGCCCTAAGAAGGTAAGACGCCCCTCCTCACTAGCCTTTTTATAAAAACTCTGGCATTTTTTACTGGCAACCCGCTGGGGACCCCTCTCTGACAGAGAGCTGTTCTTTCCTTTTGCCTATTAAACTTCTGCTACTGTCTCACTCTGTGTGGGTTTGTCCACGACCTCCGTTTCCTTGGCTGTGAGACCAAGAAACTTGGTATTTACCCCAATGAAGCTGCTTCATTTTGGGGGCTTGCCCAGAACTTAAAGGTGAATTTATCAGAAGGGTGAGTAAAGGAGTGGACTATCTACTTTCACTTCTGAGGCTTCTCATTCTCTGTTTTTATTCTCTCAAAGAACTATCAAAAAATCAGGCATCTGTCTGCTGATTAATGAGCCACAAGGACTAGCTGCCTGTGTTAAAGACTCAACTGTGAGGCTTGCTGGGGAGGATAGTACATCCCCAGTGCCCTCAGAGTGCTGGGAATGTTGACTGTGGATGGTTTCCTGTCACAGAGAACTTTGCTGTTGCACAGGACTGGAAGAGGGCCTGGAGCAACTGAGGATTTATGGCCAGGGCTACTCCTGGACTGACCCCAGTCTCCGATTGCCCAACGAGGTGTCAGCCATAGGATCACCAAGCTTTCTTACTGCAAATCTTATGTTCCTCCTTTCCTTTCCACAGTCACCATATCTCCCAGCCCCTCTCTGTCTGCACTGCTACAGGAGTTTTTACATCCCAGGGGAATAATTCAATTAGGCAACCTTAGCAACCACCTTAGCAATGAGGAATGCAGGTCCAAGGATTGCTTTTTTTGTGACTTGCTACAGATAGGGGAACTGCATGATCCAGATCTCAAAGACTACTTTGATAGCACTAATGATAGCACTTCCTGGGCTTGGATAGGAGGTTACTCCCACCCAGTGAACATCTCTCTTTCCACCTGGGCTGTTTCCTTTCCCATATGAGGAGCCACTACTGCCCAGTCAGATTGGATAGTCCCTTTATGAGGCAAATTAACTTTCTGCTAGGAGGTATGCTGTGGGAAGAGCTTGCCACATGTCAGACTTCCCTCTCCGCCCTTTGTTTAGAGGGCATTATGGAGGCAAAATTACTGCCTGGTATTTCAAGGCCTCCAGCGCCACCTAGTGGAATGAGAATCCTCTCCATGGGGAACCTTGTCTGCCCTTTTGCCAAAAGCCTCTAGTTTTCCAATTCTCTTTTTTAACCTCTCTCTGCTACAGACCAGATGTTATGCCTTCTCTGTGAGCAGGAGATCTTTGCTTTCAGCGGTGAGGAGAAAAATGTCCTCCAAAACAATATTTTAGTCTCTACTTTTTCCATTAGCAGGAAGGCCACCGATTGACCCTTATGTTCTCTTGAGACATCTATTCTGCCTACAACTAGAAGGGCATCTAAATAGAAAGGGGATTTTATGTCTGGAAGTTAACTGGAACCACTACCTAAGAATTAATTATCTAGTCCAGTCCATAATAGCAGAGTATAAAGCTCAGTCCAGTACACTCCCTCCATTAAAGGGCCTTGCTCAAATGCAACTGTTAGATAATCCCTCCCAAGACTCATCCACCAAGGAGCCACACAGGTCACACAAGTCTAGGAGATCAAAAGGCAATCACCAAGCAAGGGATTAAGGCTACATGGGTATGTGTGACTATCCCCATTACTTAGCTCCTCTGGGACCATGGTTTGAGGGTCATGCCTGCTATCATGGGGTGGCACACAGTGGTGGGACCTGGGTAACAAGGAAGGAGAACTCTCAGGGGGACTCTCCCACTGTCTTCCCCTCCAGCTTGGGCCAAACAAAAAAGAACAAGGAGACTGAGGGATTACTCTTCTCTTGTCTCTTTTCTAGAATGGCTGGCAAGCCATCTTTAGCCTGCACTCCTCTGAAGTGGATTTTGAACTCCTCTGACCCCCAAACTCATTTTCTTTTGCTCAAGAGCATGGCCTTCTTACCATCTCAAGAATGAACATACCTGAAGGGAGCTTTAATCTTATCTAACAATTAAGTCTTTTCTGTAGACAGAAGGGCAAGTTGTCCAAGGCCCCCTATGTACAGGCTTTCTTTGCCCTGCAAGACAACCCAGAGCTTTGCAAGTGTTGCACAATTGGCTCAGCCCTCTTAGCAATCATATCAGGCAGGTCTGTGGAGAGTTGTTCCCTTAAGTCAGAAGATCAGGTTTTGGAGAAGCCATTAATGGGGCTTCTAAGTGCCTCAGTCCTTCCAGTTACCCTTATCCAGGGCTCCCTTCAATTGCACCATCAGCTCCTCCAGCTCCACCATTTCCAAAGCACCCCACTGCCCCACCTTTACTCCTACCCCTACAAGAAATGCCAGATGGAAGAGGTATCACTAGGGCACATATTCCCTTCTCATTACAGGACCTTAGACAGATAAAGGGTACTTGGGCCAATTTTCTCATGACCCTGATAGGTATACAGAGACTTTCCAAAATTTAACCCAAGTTTTTAATCTAACAGAGAGATGTGATGCTACTTTTAAGCAAAACACTAACTGTCACAGAAAAGCCTTACAGGCAGCAGAAACATTCAGAGATAAACAGCATATCTCCTATAGCCAGTCTAAATTTTTTTTTTTTTTTACCAAGTCTCACTCGGTCACCCAGGCTGGAGTACAGTGGTGCAATCTCAGCTCACTGCAACCTCCACCACCTAGATTCAAGTGATTCTCCTGCCTAAGCCTCCCAAGTAGCTGGGATTATAGGCATTGTGTCACCATGCCTGGCTAATTTTTTATATTTTTAGTAGAGATGAGGTTTCACCATGTTAGCCAGGCTGGCAGTCTAAAATTCTTGAAAGGAAAAAGTCTAAAGGAAAAAAAGGGGTAAAAGAGAGACAGGATTCCACATTCTCAATAGAAAGAGAAAGAGTGCCCCTTTAAAAACCCTAATTGGAGCCCTCATGATTCCATAAACGAATGGCAAAGAAAACTTTCTAATGTGCATTTTAAAAGGCTTGCAAAGAACCAGAACCAAACCTCTTAATTACTCTAAACTGTCCTTGTTGAACCAGAAACCAGATGAAAACCCCACTGCTTTTTGGAAAGGCTGAGAGAAGCTTTAATAAAATATACCTCCCCATCTCCAATTCAATATACTCAGGCAGCCCCTGATATCAAAAGAAAATTGCTGAAACAGGCTCTGTCTAAAGATCTTTCTAGTTTGTTTCACCCTCAAGTTAAAATTTTGCAGTGTGTAAATGACATTCTCCTCTGTGCCATAATCAAGGAAGTCTCAGAAAGGCATTGAGGCTCTCCTCCATTTCTTAGCTGAAAGGAAGTATAGGGTCTCAAAATCTAAAGCTTAGCTCTGTCAAACTTCAGTAAAGTACCTAGGTCTAATCTTATCAGAAGGAACGAAAGCACCAGATGAGGGAAGGATTAAGCCCATTTCCTTTAACAGTTAAGGGAATTCATTTATCATTACTGAATTTTGCAGACTGAGTAGAAATGGCTCAACTTTTATATACCTCATAAGAGAAACTTAAACAGTTAAAACTTGCCCCACCTCCTTTGGGAACCTGGGGCTCAGAAAAAGCCTTTAACCAACCAAAGCAATCCTTCCTTGAAACATCAGCCCTCAGTCTTCCCATAGGGAAAGCATTCAGTCCCTATGTATCAAAAAGGAAGGAAATGGACCTGGAAGTTGTAACTAAGACAAGGTCCAGGTCAAGCCAGTGGGTTACTTAAGCAAGGAACTTAACTTGGTGGCTACAGGATGGTCAGCCTACCTCCAAGCAGTTACAGTGGTGGCTTTG